GGATGCCCTGGATGTGACGAATACCCTTGGGATGGATCTGGATGATACAGTCTTCACCGAACTGTTGTACACCAAGCGTGTTGGTGTCTGGAAGAAAGCCGGTATTCGCAGCTTCCTCGACATCGTCGCCAATTTTGAGAACGAGCGTTCTGCTGTGAAGACACATGACAATAAGTGTATCAGTTTCGTCTTCGCTGGTCAGCTTCGTAGTCCAGACGTCGGAAGCGTTCTGCGGCAACGGCGACTCAATAAGATCCAGAACCTCCAGCGCGTTCCTGGTGGTGCGGAATGAACTCCGGCCACCGGCACCGTTGATCGTGTAAACTTGGGGCGCGTCCTCCAGCGCAGGGTTGGCAACTTCCATGCCCATAATCGGATTGAGACTGGGCATCGTCTCAACTGCAGTGAGGTTGACAAGCGCCCGAGGCTTGAAGAATGGAGGTGCGAAAGAGGTCTCAGGGTCGACAGGGAATTGATCGCTCTCGAAAACAGGATCTTCCGTCTCGTCTCCCAAAGACTCCAGTTCATACAAGATGCGGTCTCCAGATTCGCAGGCAGCGTACACGAAGCCTGCCCTCAGAATGCAGATGCTCGTCGCGACGGGGATGGTATCAAAGTATTTGATCTTGATCTTGTCGACGGTACCGCTGGTGGCTTCTACAGTAAGCTTGAAGACATCACCGTCCTCTGTTTGTAGGAGGTAGAAGAAATCACCGCCTTTGAGAGAGTATAGAGTACCAGCAACGATCATGCGCTTGCGATTTGGGTCTTCAGTGGCTCCTTCGCGGCGTGGAATGGCCAGTCGGTGCACACTTGACTTGTTGTTGAAGATGCGGCGGTATGTGATGCTATCCTCTCCACAGCATAGAACACCGCTCGGAGCGTTTGGTCCTCCAGGTACCCGGAAGAGGGTATTGGCGGTACGATCAACTGGCTCCGACCACTTCCGGACGATATGGTTAAGACCAAGGTCCAGCTCGTAGTATACCAACTCTTTCTTGATCTCTTCGTAGGCTTCACCAGTAGGGTCAGTCTCCGAGTTGGAGTAGTCTACCTCCAATGTAGCGAACATGGGATTGTCATATCCAACATCAAGTCCAATAAGGCAGTACACCAACGTCTGTGGCTTGTGTGCCTCTAGCGGTGAGGAGATGGCGATATCCGTCTGGCCACTTCGGGTAAGAATGTAGACAAGCTTGTTCTTCTCCGTCGAGGCGATCATGATAGCGCGCCCTTTCGGGTCGGCTGCTAGATACTCGCCCGGCACTACGCGTCGTATTCCAGACTTGCCGAACGTCTCGAAGTGAACGGTCTTGAAGGTATGCTCATCTGGCATGTACTCATATGTGACTAACCGTCCGGAGTCGGTGGTTATGACAATATGGTCTGACGGAGTCAGTAGAGGTTCTTAGTGTTTGCAGTCCAGTCCACCGTGGGCTCAGGGAGCTGGGAGCTCGAGGGTGTCGTGTGCTTTGAAAATCACTATACTGCTTGTAGCGGGGAAGATGGACTAACATACCTTTGGTGCCGCCTGCAATCCTGAACTTGGCTATACGACGAATGATGCCAAACACATCCTGCGAGTACAGCTCTTGGAAGCCCTTCTGTCGCCGCGAGACCTCGAGGATAGCCAGTCGTGAGCCGCTCGCTGTGAGAATCTGCTGCTTGCCGTTTCCGAGAAAGTCACCGGAGATGGCGTCCTGTGTCGCTGTCGGCTGCTTCACCGTCAAGGCGTACAGGGACATGGAAGAGAAGCTCGTCATGGTGGGCAATGGGCGGGCGCTGGCCCAGGTATTACAGTCGCGTCGATATCTGAAGACACGCGGGTAAGGTTAAGAAACAGACCACGATCAATCAAGAGCGGTGTATGAGCTTGTTGAATGTGATGCGCGCCGTTGTAGGGCAGCGCGTCTGAAAAGTGGCTGGCGCAAGTTGTCGAGGATGAAAGATTTACGCGCAAAGAGGCCAGAGCTTCTCGGCCTAGTGTCGGTCCGCCCTGACCAATTGGTGGGATGGGCCCCACTAAAATTTCATGTCGCAAAGTCTACACAGGCGCGTACTCGACGACAGCCACGACAACTTCCTCACCCCCCAGATCCCAAGTCGACACCATGAAGCGCAAAGTTGGTGCCCTCGAGAAGCTGGAGTCTGACCACGCAGCACTCCGCTTCAAGCTGAAACGAGACCCTCAATCGTACAGAGACGACTTTGAGCAGCAATGGCAGCAGTACCGAACCCTCCTCGACCTCTTCCTGGCCGACCCAAGCACCTCAGATAGCGGTCTGGTTGCGCTCAAGGACCTCATCGAATTCGTATCGCACACCTCAGACCTCTACCCCGATATTGCATCAGAGTTTCCCCGGGATCTAGAGCTGCTGCTCACCCACCACGAGGTGCTGGAGTATGACTTGAGAGACAAGGTCGTCGGAGCATACTGCCTGCTCAAGCGGAAAGAAGTCATCGACTCGATCACACTTCTCAACACCCTGTTTCCCATTCTTGTAACGACCAACAGCAAGAGTCTGCGACAACTACTCTACACCAAGATCATCTCAGACCTTCGGTCTTCCAACGCAAAGACTGTCAACCACAAGCTCAACAAGTCTATGCAGACAGCGCTTTACAAGTATGCAATATCCTGCGAGTGTACCAAGATCATTGACTAACTAGTCAAAGCCTCCTAGAATCAGACTCTTCCTCACCCAAGGGCATATGGGCCGTGAAGATCACAAGAGAGCTTTGGAAGCGCCAAATATGGACCGATGCGCGCGCAGTCGAGGTCATGCGCTTGGCCGCTCTAAGCGACAACGAAAAGACCGTTTTCGGCGGCACCAAGTTCTTCCTTGGTGGTGACGAGGAACGAGAGGCCGCTGCAGAGGAGAGCAGCGATGACGACAATGATGTCGACATGGCCAAATTGAAGCATTCAGCTGGCATCAACAAGAAGAGCAAGAAGAAGGCCCGCGAACTGAGGACTGCAGCTGCCACTATAAAGAAGAAGCAGAAGAAGAAGAATGCACCTCATCCTCTCAACTTCAGTGCGCTCCACCTCCTCCACGATCCTCAAGGCTTCGCCGAAACGCTCTTCTCGAAGCACGTCCAGAACTCCAAGAACAAACTCGCCCTCGAAACGAAACTGCTGGTGTTGCAGCTTGTTACTCGTCTTGTTGGATTACATCAGCTCACAGTCCTCCCGCTATACTCATACTTCTTGAAGCATCTCACTCCTCGGCAAGCGTCTGTCACAAGTTACTTGGCATGCTTAGCGCAAGCGACACACTCGTATGTACCGCCAGATGTGCTCGAACCGCTGGTGCAGAAGATTGCGAACGAGTTTGTGTCAGAAGCATCAGCCTCTGAGGTTGCGGCAGCAGGTCTAAATGCCATTCGCGAGGTTTGCGCACGTCAACCATTAGCTATGACGGACACCTTGCTCCAGGACTTGGTTATGGTAAGTCAACTCACATTTTCTATCCTCCCACCGCATCGCGTCGCACTCTGTGTTTTTCATGATGAGAACATTTGGTCCGTGTTAATGAGGCGGCTTAAGACCCCGCTATCTGAATACAAACCCAAGCGCTTGTCGCAACTCTGATCCCCTTGTTTCTGCTACATCCTCTCAGACACCTCGCCCTGATATCATGATGTATACTGACACAAGGTAGTACCGCAAATCCAAGGACAAGGGCACGATGATGGCCGCCAAAGGACTTCTTTCACTTTACCGTGAAGTCGGTGCAGACCTCCTCAAGAAACGCGATCGTGGCAAGGACGCGACAATGGGTATCCGCGCTGGCACTATCAAAGAACGCCGATACGGTGAAGAAGCTATTGGAGAGATCGAAGGCATTGAGCTACTCGAGAAGTGGAAAGAAGAGGAGCGCAGGAAAAAGCTGGAAGCTGCTGGCCTGGACCCTGACGCGGACAACGGCGACGTTGAGCTTGATGACGAAGATGACTGGAAGAAGTGGGATGTGGAAAGTGACGGTGATAGCGACGATTCAGGTGGCTGGATCAATGTAGAGAGCGATGGCGAGGATATCCAAATTAGCGACTCTGAAGACGAAAAGGAAAAGAAAGACAGGCCAGCAAAGAAGGCTAAGCTCGATACCACGACACCAACACCAGGACCAGACAGCAAAGAACCCTCCAAGAGCGCCGAACCAGAGAGCAAATCCATCTCTAAACTCCTCACCACTACTATCCTTACCCCAGCCGACCTTAAACAACTCCAAGCCCTCCGTGCCTCGTCAACAATAACCTCCTCCCTCGCCTCCTCCAAACGCGCCCAACTCCTCGCCGCCCGCCACGCCGACGAAGCCATCACGGCCGATACCATCGAGCTTGCCGCAAAGATTGGCAAAAAGAACACCAAAGAAGAGAAGATCGCTCTTGCACGCGCAGACCGCGAGACGAACCACAGTTCGCATGCTAAGAAGAAGAAGGAGCAAAAGGCAGCTGAGGGCAAGAGCACGACGAACCAGGAGAAGGCAAGGAAGAAGAACTTCTTGATGACGCTGGGCAAAGCCAAGATTAAAAACAAGAGGAGTTTGGGAGATGTTAAAAAGTCGTTGATGGGTCATGTGGAGAGGAAGAAGAGAGGAGGCAAGAGAGGAAACAAGGGCAACTAGTGAATTAATAGATGTGGTCCTGGTGCTAGGGATGACGCTGATTTAGTTTACTCGAGATGAAAAGGGAATAGTCACTTGATACCCAAATAGAATATGGAATCATGATACATGAGAGATTTCGCTTTTCTGCATGGTTCTACCGTATGACAGGGTGCTTTACATGATCGCATTGCAACACCTACAACACTTTTGGCTTCAGCCTACTCATAACATGTAACTGAAGACACACACATTCTCTTCCAAGTACTCCTCAACTCATCAATCCTCTTCCGCTCCTCGCACAGCACTCGCAGCCATACTATTCCTCTCACTTACTCCTTTGACAACGAAGTTGCTCTTGCTCGCCCACTGGCAGCACCCACACGTGGTTCAAATCGAAAGACTGGGTTCCTGGACCCGCAAATCGTTTGAACTTTCATTGTGAGAGCTGCCTGAGGCATAGCTGTTATTGGCAATGTGGACTTCGTCATCGGAATTTGGAGCTGTATGTTGTATGGCTGCGTGTTTGTTGTGAGGAGGTGAACGGCTATTCATGCGATTGGGAAAGGGATTGATGAGACTATCAGCTGGGTGAGGTGTTACTCTAGTAAGAGCTTCCGGGTCTTTGGAAGCGCTTGAGAGGTGACTTAAGTCGGTCGAACTCTTAGAGTAATCCTTTGGGCTAACTGATGGGCTTCCGGATTTTATCTGTATCTCCTGCATGTTGGAGGTGACAGACAAACCTTTCCAGTGTGCTGCTCCTGTGGTGGAATTCGAGATCGGATTTATTGGAGTTGTGATGGAGCTGCTAGTAGTTCTGCTCTGTTCCTGAACAGGGAGATCGTGTGCCGTCGAAATCGAAGGTACAAGCGTAGAACTGACTGTTCGTCCACTGAGACTGTTCACGAGTGGCGGCGACGCAGGTACAACCGCAAATACGTCCGCAACGCCACGCCCTGTACCATCTTGCCACATATCAGCATTAGCAGAAAGAACCTGGCGCAACACATCGTCTTTCTCGTTCTGGGCTCTGGTCGCAGAAGTCATGATCGGCCGTAGGCAATCATCCAGGCTGACGGTGCTGTCACCGTCAATCTTGCGTCGCTTGTGCGAATCAAGTGATTCAGCCTTCATCCAGTCAGTCACATACTGATTCTGTACTTGAAAAATCATCAATATGTCATTCTTTAAGCCCTTAGGATCGGTGGAGTGAGAATACAGCTGTAGCAACGACGTGATGAGTGAAGTATGCTCAATGAGATGTCTGACCAAGAGGTTGGGATCTGGATCTTGATGGGTCGTTGGCTTGTGATTGATAGAATAGCGAATATTACGTATCGTGGATTGTGTCATGGAATGCGACTGAGCAGTTGAAGAGTTTGGTTGCGGTCTAGTATGCTCCTTGTGTCCTTCGGCTTCATCGCCGCTAGTCTTGTCAGGGTCGGCGTCAGACAGCCATCTCTTCAGCGGTGAATGTCGCGAGTACTCTTGGATATAATGAATGGCTCTCCTACGGAGCAGGTCTTCGTTCTGAGATGGAACCGTTGGGTACCCATGAGTATTAGGAGGAATTTGAGCCTGATGGTTCTGGAAGTACGGGGACCAATATTCTGACGCGTTCTGCTGCTGCATAAAAACCTGCGAGGAGAGCGGGTATTGCACTTCAAAAGGTACGTTCAGAGTATGGCGGCCCCACGCGGCGTTCGGGCTGACATTTGGGGCCGCAGTTATCTTTGCGTTCATCATGCGGTATATGTCATGGCTCTGATGTCCAGTGAACGTGCTGCCGCTCGGAGGTATGGCTGTCAATGCTGTTCTAGAAGGGTGATAGCTATATAGGTCTCTATACCCATCGCCGATTGATTGATGGGATTTTGTCAGCTTCTTGTGTCTGGGGTTGCGCTCCTGAGCTCGTACTGCTTGCCGTGGCGGTGATGCAGTCTCCTCAACGATGATTGGGTTTTGACAGCTACCGCTCACGTTTGCAAAAGGCTTCGGTGCAAGCCTTTGGAGAGCAGAGGAGACGGTGCGTTCACCAGGATCGACCGAGCCTTGTTTCTTCCTGGGAGTGCTTGTTGCGAGTCGTTTTGGAACTTCGCCAGTGCTTGAAGATGTGAGACTGAGATCATACTCACTGCTGGTGCCGGAAATCGCCATTTTGGGATGAGTGCTAGGCACCTCTCGCTGCAGTGAAGCTTTCTTTACCCTCTCAGTACTGGAAATGAGGGCATGAGTAGTACCGCCCGCCTTTCGAATAGTTTTAGGCTATTCCATGTCAGCCATTGCCAGCTCTGCGTTTGTAGCGCCTCGCGGAGTGAGGACCATATTGCCTTTCCTATGTCCTGGCTTGCCATTTATTCACCACAGAAAGAAATGAGGAGTCTGCTCACTACTCCTTGCTCCACAAGTTGCTCCACTTTTGTGCTTACTGCGCCTATACGGTGCGATGAAGATGAAGCCGAAACTTTTGGCAACGCTTTTGCTTTGATCAGTATGATGAGGTGAAGCAGAGTGACAAGAGTGGTGGAATACAGATCAGAAGAGAGTGAACATGAATTGTAAGAAGGTTTGAAATGTTGCCTACGTGTACACAGAAGGTACGCTGTGTATAGGAAGGGGCGCCCACCATCGGAGGAGAAAGTGCGACGCGCGCGCGATGCATGACATTGACGAGCATGTTGCTTGATAGAGTCAGAGCAGAGCAGAACAGAACAGTAGGAAGACGAATCGAGAGAACTTAGACGATAAATGTAGAGACATAACCGATGCGCTCTTCATATATGCCTCGCACGATCTCGTCTCAACATACAGTTAGAAAAGCACGAAGTTCGGTCACCTCCTCCACATCATCCACCTCATTAACAATGCGATCGATAGCACCCTCATCCCAAGCGATACCATACCAGAGTAGCACGCCTAAATCTCTCATCACCCTTACATCTTCCATTCGGGCCCCCAGTTCCGGCACGGCGTCGATTAACCGCGTCCAAAACAACTCACGAAGCTGTGCCGCACCGTCAAAGTATGTCCATATAGGTGCGATACCGGAGGCAGGTGGAGTGATATATCCAAGAAGATGTTCGAGTCCATACAGACAGGTTCCGAAAGGTAAGTACTCTGCCTCCGCCCAATCCACTAGGCCTGTGATCTTCCAGGTATTCTTGTCAACCAAAATATTAGATGGGATGAGATCTCCGTGATTGATTGTCACTGAATAATCGCTTATCCGCTGCACTGCGCCCAATACTTGGCTCGCTCTTTGGCGGAGATGAGTGTCCGGCAGCTCAGTAGCTAATCTCTCAAGCCTAGAAATAATGGTTGAGCCGACCTTGCCGCGGCACTGCGAGAGTACCGATGAACTCTCATCCATAGGTGAGTCTACTCGTATCGCTCTCGACATGAATGGGGTCTCAAGTGGTGAGTGCCAACTTTGCGCGATAAGGTCCGCAAAACTCGCGACGAGACGTTGTAGTCGTTCCCTTGAACCAGCATCGAGTGAACGTTCACGCCCCTGCAAACGACGCAACTGTGCGCCTTCAAGTTTTTCCATCTCATAGACATATATGCCTCCGGGTAATGCTAATTCGAGAAGTTCGATAGTTGGAACTAGCGTTGGATAAGTCATGCTAGCAGCACGTACGATGTTGAGGTCAAGGGCGTGCAGTGCCGGTCGAAGCTGGACGATGAAAGCAGGTCGTTCCTCGCCGCACGTGTCTGCAAGAACCACAGGAAGAGTTTCGTTGATGGTAGACACGCTTCTCGATGGCGGGACAAGAATCGTACAACTGCAGTAGCCCTGCTCTTCAAACTCTTCCACTTCACATCCCCCATAGTAATTCTGCACGGCTCTTACACATATCTCTCTATCTTTCTGCAGTAATCCAAACCTGTTCCAAAAGCCTTGGGAAGTCATCAATCATGTGCCCTGATCGTGGTAGCAACACAAGTCCAAGGGCTCGAGCCATCGCGCAGGCTTAAGGCGGTGCCCACCATCCCGTCCCGCATCAGATGTCACGTTCTGCCATAAGCCGCTTTGACTCGGCTAGAGCTTGAACGGTGTGTTGCAAATTGTCGTGGTTCGTTGAGTTTTTGCACGTGGAGGGTTGGGCGTTGGAGGAAGCAGCGAGGTGGAAGCGGGGATGTGGGGATGGTAGCCTATCGCCTCCAGCTCACCACAGGCCGTATGTACAGTACGCGTAAGCGATCATCTCTACTCTTCACCTATCGCGTCATTTTGCCAAGCGCAATAGGTTTATGACGGGGAAGTCAACTTTTCCTCTATACAATGTTGCGGCTGACCGGCTTTGTCTCGTCATACACCCGAGCACATGGGCCGCTGTAATCCGACTTTCAATCCAGCTACATTTGGGCCTTAAAATAGGGAAGAAGATGTAGTAGCAGCCGCGACGTCTAGAAGAATACGTGCATTCACCTGCTTTTGAAACCTTTGAGGCTTCACTTCTATTCAATCTCATCACTCATCTGAGGGCCTCGCTTCGAGGTTCAAACCGGCTGCCTTTCCAGAGGATCTCCAAGTGGGCGAGGATGTTACTATAACAGAGATGGAGAAGTTGACACGATCGCAAGGTACAAAGGTAAGCAATTACCCTACGCAGTCTGTTGCTCGAGACGATACCTGAGTACACTTACTACATAATGAGCAGCTTCTCGGGAAGGTGGTTGTGGGTAGACTAAAACAGGAATACGTAGGGTGAGTTCAGATAAACATGCCAGCATATGAATGAATATATTGATTATGACGCGACAATTTAGACCTTCGGCACAAATCAACCAAGACCCATTATCTATGGAAGTTCAACACTAGACAAACCTCCAAGCCAGAGCTAATTCAAACACGTTACAATAATCATGATTCGTCGACTCGAAATACCCAATGTGTAAGCAGATGGTGGTCTCCAATTCGATGTGAAATCAGGGATACTGAATAAGCTCATGGAGACTTCAGACCGACCCAAGATTCGTTGTAGCCCATGACGTCATTCATCGCAAACTTAAAATCGCCCTGCCCTTGACCCGTAGCTCCCGCGATTCAATAACTCCCGATAAACTCTACCAACATTCCAAACCTCCAACAGTCCCAAACTATCAGATATCCTTGGCCTACGCAACTTATGGCGATCCCTCTCCAATTCTACCTTATCTCGTCTACTTCATCGTACCGCGCATCACCCAAACTCGCTTTTCACCAACCTGCAGCCTCGCTTGGATGATTTGCAACATGCATATATGTGCCAAGCCCTGAAAGCGCAAACTTCCAAAGTGCAAGGAATGTGTTCGCTAGGGTCTGATTGGTTGTGCGACCAGCACCTCTTGGGTGGAAGGATTACGGGTAAATCAGCACCATGTTTTATTGACATGAAGAGTGTTGCAAACATAGGCGTGAAGCGATAAGCCATTTACATCAAGTGTGATCACCCTGATGTTGGGCGAGCAGTGCGAAATGTCGCATATGGCGAGCCACAAACTACCACTACGCTGATCATTCTGCCTAGGTAGCGTTGATCGCCGCGAACCTTGTTCCGATCACCTCGGTTCGAACTGATGGCAAGCTTAATGTCCTTACCCAACGCCGTCGCATTTTGATACCTGTTCTTACTATGGAGAATTTGTATTACAGTGATCCGCCAGGCCCTTCTGTCTACACGTGCATCTTCATCAGAGGCAAAGTAGCCGCAACCACGTGGCAGAACGCCACCACTGTGGTCTGTAATAGCATCGTAAATCTCGACTGCCGCCGTTAGCACAAAGAAAAAAACCTTTGCCGACACCGTAGGGCTGGACCAAGCCACATACCATGTCTGCATGCAAAAACCCCGTTTGACGAGCCAGAGCTGAAAGAAAGTGGTGACATTTCTCAACGCTAATAGTAGCTCTCCCGTTCACTTAGCGTGCACGCTACATGTCTCCGATCAGCTTTTGTGGCGCGTCTAGATCCACTATCTAGTAAAACGTGGAGAGCTGAAAAACAAAATGCTCTACTCGCTGCTCACGTTAGCCGCGCCGGTGTGGCTATCTGCCAATGCGTCCGGGTCAAGCAAATCCCATCCCGGTGACACTCTCACCACTCGATTCAGCCTCACCGCGCACCCCGATGATCCGGTTACGGAAATCAACGCATAGCTGTCTCAGCCCTACTGCATAGTGGTCAACAAATAAAATGCCAATGCGGAACTACTGGAATAACAGCCTATCAGTGTCAAGTGTTCACACCTCTACTTTGCGGAGCGGCTTGGAAGGATACTGTATAAGCGAACTCACCGGCCGTATTTTGCTGTCAAGCATTGACAGGCGGTCTGGTAGTTTTCCGCCTAGCCACGCGGCAAGTAGACGGCGACGGCCCTTCTTGTTAGCGACTGTCGACCGAACAGAATATAGTTGTAACCTCATCGGGCTGGGAGACGCGTACCCGAGAAGCAAACCCAGTTTGGGCAAAGATCTGGATCGTTTGAAGATCGCAATGTTTTAGTCAAACATGCATCCAGACACGGCACGGTAGAGGACATGTTTGCGGTGAGTGAAGCGCAGCTCGGCGAGATGCTGATCAGCGGCAACTGTGGAGATTCACGAACACAATTGCAAGGTAATGAAGCGGTAATGATGGTTGCTGTGCCATTAATGATTCTATGTAATCTTTCTGCCCATTACAGCTTTGTGATAAAGGAAATGCAGAAGGGTATATTCGTATGAACAGGAATGAGATGTGTTGCACCCCAAACGCCTGGCAATGCTGTTTTGTCGCACTATGCGACTTGGAGTATGCTCGTGTGTTGCGCCATATGCAGAATTTGACAGATGCCGTGATAAGGGTGTACAGCAGGTGAGTCTGTGTTGCCGACTCTCGGTCTAGAGCGAAATGTGTCCCTTTTAAAACGCCGTCGAAATGAAAAATGCTGGATGAAGGTTTTCGTGTGCCGATCTAGAAACGATTGTGCTAGCGATGTATGAAATGATACTAGACGTTTATCTACGGAAGACGTTCATGAAGCTCTTGCGCTTGTTAACTGCTGGGGTGACAGGCCTGTCGGCAGGAATAGGTGGTGGCGCCGGATGCGAGGTAGAGGGCTTCCTGCTGAACTTGGAGAGCAATGGCTCAGATTTCTTGCTAGCAATTCTGCTATCATCAATCTTCTCGTTAACAGCTATTCCGGAGTCGCGGGACGCATCGTGAGAAACCTCAGAGGTGACAGGTCTTGCGCTATGGTCAGCTTTGGACAGACCACGAGAGAGCATATTGCTACTCTTTGCCTTGTGGGCGGATCTGCGCGAGCTCTTGGTCATGGCACGTTTGATGTTGCTGCCAGTCTCCTCGGCTTGCTGTCGTTCGAGGCGCTCAATATCGCCCAAAACGGTCATACCATTCATGGCGAGGCTCTCTTCGGGAATAGGCACGAACTTGACTACGCCACGGTCTGACGACACGCCGATGGACTCGGCCATGAATGTTTGGATCAGGGCTGCATTGCGCTTGTTGGTCGTAGGCTGCAATTGCACTGGCAGAGCGTTGATAGTGAGCATGTACGTGGGCTCAAAGGATCCACCCAAGAGCATACACGCCGAGTGGTTAACCGTTATCATGATGGAGGCTTCTGGCCTTTGGTAGCGCGTCGAGAGGTGGTGCGAGAGGTCGGTGACTAGGGTGTATTCGTCTTTGATCTACGCTGGGTTAGTGATTTGCCCAAAGAGTGGAACTCGGCAGAAATTAACAACTTACGATAACATTTGTCCGCAGCTCGGCTACAATAGGCGCATCCTTGGTCACACGCTCGCGAGCCGACGACGCGATACCGTCCTTGTATGAAAATTGATCTTCATAGAAGGCAGCACGGGAGCGGGAAGTCACGGGTCGCAGGGGACCGACACCGTCAGCGGCAGGAGTACGAGCGCGGTCGCGGGAGTCAAGCTCGATGTTCTGGACTGACTGTGGCGACGATGCAAAGGAGAACTGCGAGGGCGAGGGCGAGAGCTGCTCTCCGGGATTTTCCGGTGATAGAAGGGCGGTGCCTGCCTGCTTGGGAAATGCATTGGTGCCAGAGTACGTCGACGTGGATGATGGGCGGGACATCTTGGTTTGGGTCGATGTAGAATTGTTGACCGAATGGGGCATGACGGACAAGAGCAAAAGATGGAGGACTTGAGGATATAAGAGCGACGACCAGGGCTATCTGTTTGGGGAGCCGCGAACGAGTTATTCGCCTAGATATGGATAAAGACGTTGGTGCAACATGCAAGAGCGCAGATCCTGGCGCGCTTCTCTATCTTGCAATGTGAGACGAGATCCGAATTGAGACGCGGTGGCGTTTGGTTATCAGGACACGGAACTTGGGGGGAAGTCCGTGTATTGATTGACAGTGTTGAGTGGACAATGGTGCGGCAAGATAGTAAAGTGATGGGCGGTGGCAGTCCTGGGATTAAGAATGGATGACGACTGAAGCAAACACCCCGCAATGGCAAAAGGAAGTCGTTGGCCGATGAAGATGCAGGAGCTGGGCCCTGGGCAGACGACAGCGAACCACTATATGATATAATTTCCAGTTCCATAGCCAGGCGTCTGGTCCCAGAGGCTCGCCGCATGCCACAGTGCACCTCCAGCACCAGGCACTAAGCATCTCGGGTAGAGCGACAGGGGTCAGGGCCTCAGATCCAGCGTCACCTGCGCGCGGGCCAGCCGCCCGCCATGCAGTTTTGGGCGCATGCACACGATCGGACTGGGTATCTGACATTTGGCCATGCTGAAGACGGCTGTGCGCTGCATCCTTATCTGGCTATGCGTGTCAAGCGTCGGCCACTCCATCATGGCTCCAGCACAGCTTCAGCTATCAGTAAGCCGTGTTTGCTCACTCATATGCGCCACCACCCGCACCTGCCAGCTGCAACCACTGCGCTTCCCTAACCCAACGCACGACTGCCAGTTCAAAATAGCACCTCCCACAAGGGAAAGGGCGACCCCGTAGTCCGCCATTACGCAACCCTAGTCTAAGACGTTGTTATCAATCTCAGCGACAACGCAACACCACTCAATCGAGGTTTGACGCTGTCCTCCTAGCCTGCCACTAACCCCATCACCGGCCATTCTCCTACCCCGCCAAACCCAGCCTAGCCTGGACCCGCTGCTCTTGGGAGGACACTCCGGAGTCTCGACCTCTGTTTGGCTGGGCGGGCCTCTTGTGCCATACCGTGTCTCTGCTCTTTTGGTCGACTTTTCTTCTGAGTTACGCGAGCGGGAAGAAGCAGTACCCGCCCTACTCTACCTAGAGCCGCCCTGCTTGCACAGCATGAGGGTGGTGACTGGCACATGTTGTGTCCAGATACCTAGGCACTACCTCCGCAGTCCGGAGCGAAGCCGAGCGAGGCCAAAACACACTCCGTCGCCCACACGTTACCCAGAAGTCCCTGTGCCAGCCAGATCGAGGCGGGTACGATATCGCACGAGTCACCAGCCTGTCACTGCAACAGCCATCGGTGTGCATCCTTCAGTCGTGACGTGAACGTTCAAATGATTCCCCGTGCAAAAGGACGGGAGATAAACAGCTGATGCAGGTACTAGTTCCTTTCTATCTCAGAGTCTCGACCCCAATGCGACGGGATCTAACAATCTCCACTTATATTCAATGGATCGAACATCGATAACAGTTGCAAGCAGCATGGCTCCTTATGCATGTAAGGAGTTGCACCATAGGAGATAGCCAACCGCCCAAGTTTGCGCCTGTCATGTTCGCTGCGCCTCGACTTCTTCCGAAATGACTGTTCCAATCCTCACTCGATCATTACCCAATCGGAATGAAAAGCACTGAGGTCCCCCTCAGTTCAAAGAGATCCTCTTTGTTCGTGGCACAGTCCCCTATATGTACTATGTGTCAGGCGTTCTGCATGTCAAGACCCTTTCGAAATGTCTGCTGCCAACGCCGTGTAACGAGGCACCCTACCGGTCGCATAGTACTACTTCTATCTCATTTCGCTACATATGGCTCACGTCTCAACCAGCTGAATAGTTCAACGGCTGGTCCGTTTCTTTGTCTGGTTGAAACCGCCCTCTGGCGCCACTATGGCGTCTTGATTACACAAGTTCGCGGGTATCTTTAGTTTGCAGCCCCCATCGTGAAGGCTCGATCAAATGCGGAGACTACGCAAGTAACCGTGATTGTCGATACGAACTGAATGGCGTAACCGTGCGGCCCGCCTTTTGGGCTCGCGATCAAGTTGTCAAGCTTTCAAGGTGGGTTTGTGGCGGCACACGAAGGAAGCGTGGTCTGTGTTTCTCCTTAGCCGTATAACGGTGTTTTCTTATACCTGTTCAACGGTCGGTTGGATGAGGTTGGCTTGGCAATCAGAAGCAATCTCCTGTTATCACCTTGGTTGAAAAAGCGTGCAAATCCATGACAGTACAGTGCAGCGAGATACAACTGGCACAATATGGCGTGCATCATGCTGGCTATGTAGCATTAATGCACATAGTGTGCTTGTCCCTGGAAATACAAGCCTGCTGTTCGCGCTCCATGAATGCGCTGTCGATCTGAATGCCATGAGCATCGCGAGCGTGTGGTTTAAAGTGCTACTGTATCAGAGTAACGGCATTGCGCTGGTGAAGGTAATATCCACGTGAGAGCGCGCGGCGTGTTGACCAGGTGTGGATCGGCGCGGACATCATCACCAACCGCAGTCGCCTCACTTCGCACACCAAGTGACCGCTCGCAACGTAGCGCACGCCCGATTACGTCTCAGATGCCACCGAAAAACGCGACAGCGAATGCTTCGCGCAGAAAAGGCCCGTCGTTCAACCCACCACGGCCTGTAAACGCGGCTTCCCAGGCATCTACAACCACGAAACGCGCCCCAGCAGCGGCTTCCCGCGCGACGGGCCCAGCCAAGAAGAGCAATGCGGCAGGCTCAAAGAACGGCTTCCAGCCAGCGGCCGAGATAATCGACCTATCTGACGATGATCAAGACGAAGAGCTTGCCGAAGATCTAAACCTCTCAGACTTTGACGACATAATGGAGGACGCACCCGCTGCTCCCAAACCACCACCAGCCAACCCCGCCCTTTCCGAGCCCGTCGTACCACGACCCCTCCTCGCACGTCTGCTTCTCGAGAACTTTGAGGATCCAAACATACAAATACAAACCGGTGCGATGAAGCTGGTCGGAAAGTACATTGACATCTTCGTCACAGAAGCTTTTCTTAGAAGCCAAGACGAGATGAAAGCGTCTGCAAAAGATGGGGGTGCCATTGACGGTTTTCTTCAAGTAGAGGATCTTGAGAAGCTGGCGCCCCAACTTGTGTTGGACTTTTGAAGGCGGGATGTACACGAAGACGTGACAATTCAGCGCGGATCAGCAATGAAAGGAGAAGAGATACCAGCTGCCATGTGGATGTATGCAAGCCTACTTAGACATACTATTGGGATTACAATTCGGCTGTACTCCAGTGAGCAGCCCTTTACACTGACAACGGCGGTGGCTCGGCAGTTGTGCCGCACCATACATGCACCTCGTACAGCCTGTCTTCGGACGCCAGTGTTGTCAGGCTATTTTCGGAACATCATAAGCCAAACATAGCGAAGGCGGATATTCGGCACAATTTGCGACTAACAGCAGTTAAGAGGCAGAGAAGGCAAGAGACCGAAACATGGACATGTACATCAATCGTTTACAGGACGAACTACCATACAGAATCAGGCCAGAAGGACCCATGGACAAATGAAGGACTCAACCGCCTGACACGTTTGAAACATCTTGCAATGTTGCCTGGCGTCCAAGATCTTGTCGAAGAGGTTTACGCGCGCAGCCTGAAAGTCATGTAATGCACAATCTCGCAAACGAATGTTCCGGCTGCCTGGCTCATTCGGTTTTGTGGTTGCCGTTGCCACGTACGGCTTGAAGCACGATGGGGTTGGGCTCAAACACAGTCGTAACGTGAAGCGCGTCGCATCGTGAACACCCAGCTACATCACGACGAACACCAACATCGTGACATGATCAACGCTACTTTACATCAATTCTATCTGTGTACTTGGTGTTATGACATACCACGTCCAATTGTCCTTTAAGCGATTTGTTCACAATATTAAAAATGTCCAGCGCCGATGTCTAAACTTCAAGCTGCGCTCAAATATACCCGTTTTAAGCCTCACTTACAGGGTTCTCAGCCGAACCGGGAGGCTGAAGCACCCCACGCCTCCAACGTGTCGCAACACCAACCCCATGTATCGGAACACCTACTAACCGCCCTGGCCACGCATGCACATCTGTCATGCCTTAAGATGGCCCTATAGCCGTCACCTCAGGCTTCTCTTTTTCTCATCCTCCTCATCTCACGTTTCTCATCACTTTGTGTTGCATTTTCCTTGCATCTATCTTTCTTTACTTACCTCTTCACAATCTTTAATAAACGACTGGCTAGTCCAGCTTGCTATTCTTTCACGGATCCAAACCGAGCGCTAGTCGCACATCCACTCTCTTGACGAGACATTGAGCATTATAACACGAATCGCATACCTAATATCGAAATCGCTTTCCATACGAACGAATATCACATACACTAGCCAACATGTATTTCTCAAGAGCAACCATTCTCTCCGCCGTCTTCGGCCTCGCGTGCGCCCAAGAGTCTTCCATGACCGCTTCAGTATCCATGGCCTCCGCCACTCAGCCGACACTCTCCTCAGCTGTGTTGGGCAGCGTATCGACATCTCAGCCATCTGCAATGGCAGGCATGGTCATGACACACGTCGTCCAAGTCGGAGGTCCAAATGGAAGCCTGACCTTCTCTCCCTCCAACGTTGTCGCACAGCCAGGAGATCTTGTTCAGTTCCAATTTCACCCCAAGGTACGTCCTATCTTGATCCATCACTTCCTCTTCTTCGAGTGGAACCTAATTAACATTTCCTAAACAGAACCACTCAGTCGTTCAATCTACCTTCGACAACCCATGCACACCCATCCAAAACATCATGTCCAACAAAACCGATGCCTTCTTCTCTGGCTTCATGCCTACGAACGCTTCCGTTACTGCTACAAGTCAAGTCCTCACATACACCATCCGTGTCGCAGATGCGAAGCCAGTCTGGTTCTACTGTTCTCAGGGCAAGCATTGCCAAGCTGGTATGGTCGGTGCTATCAACGCGTAAGTCTTCGTTCTTGCATTCCCAAACAAATCCACTAACTCTATACGTACAGCCCTACATCTGGCAACAAAACAATGTCTGCCTTTGTCGCTCTCGCCGCTCAAGCTACGGAGAACCTCTCCCCCGGCCAAGCAGCCGGCTCAGGCGGCGCCGCAGGCAACACACCCACCTCGCCTTCAGCTGGTGGTGGCGCGAACTCTGGTACCGATAGTACCTCTGGTGGTGCTGCAGGTGGTGCTAGTAGCTCTGCCAGTGGTGCTCCTGCTCAGGCCACTGCTAACGTTGCTGCTGGTGGTTTCAGCCCGCAGAGCTACGTTGGAGCTGCTGCTGCGGTTGTTGCTGCTGTCGTTGGTGTTTTGTAAGGGAGCCATTGGTGAATTTATGGAGGGAAGAAATATATGCTTTTTTGCTGTGATACCAATTCTAGGATGATGATACTGAGCTGGTTCTACACTCAGATTTGGGCGTGTTGTTTTATAGTTCACGGAAATTAATGAGATAACTATTGACCTCACTTATAGTTCAATTTTGATGTTCCCTGTTTTCAATTGGAAACAATGATATTTAGACGAAAGGGACCGCTTTGAACTCACATGTAGTTGGTGCTTCTCTTCACTTCATCTTCTAGTTCTCATGCTCTACTTCGCAAGGCCATTTCCAATAGAACTCTAGTACCTAGGTAGGATGCGTTTCTTATCAGCAACCGTAGGTTATTGAACTTCTCGAGAGTAACCACAAACTTATCGCACCGCTGCTTGGAAATATATCTGTGCCTCTCTGCTTACGTTAGTCCAAGCCATATATATGCTGTGAACAAGTCACAGTTGTGTCCTTGATCTTGGAACGACGCTCTTTCAGTGATTTCGACTCTAATTCTGAGTTTGAGTTGCTCTGTTGACCTGTTTCATCCGACAATTGTTATTTCTCAGTAGTCGTGTCGATCTAGAGGGCGTAGTGTTGTGGCAGCATTCTCGTGCTCAATGACGTCCTGCCTGTTGTCTCCACAGTCTAGACGGTCTGTCGAACTTGGTGGGGATACGAGTAAGGGATACTCGGAAAGGCTAGTGCGCGATGTCATGTCAATTGGCGTGCACGTGGGAGCTGTGTGCGTAAAATACGTCTCAAATTTCAGGGAGTGAACCCTGCAGCACGTTGGCATGAAAAATTGGAGCTTACCCGAGGCAACGTTGTGAGTTTGAAAATTTCGGGTAACTTACGCCAAATAGTATATGTAGCGTAGGTCGAGACCCTCTCGATCGCATCATGAAGAATGCTGTTGGTGTTGCGAACCGCGGCGGATCTCGCGTTCATGCGTTGTGATGTCATGCAGTTGAGCTAAAAGTTTTCACCCGCTTGCCCGCAGAGCCTCTTCCGTCTTTACCCCAATCGGACGACTACGGCATGTTGATCAATTGACAGACCGCATCCTGACATGTCATACCTGGAGGCGACAAAGAGCTTTTCCCTTTACCTTACTGGGACTCTGTTAGGCACTTGTATGCCGTCTTCTGAAAGACCTTTCCATGTGTTCCTTTACAGGCAAAGCGGAGCAGGCTTTTAGCAAGTATACTTAATTCCATACGAACACAACAAAGCCAAACCATTCAAGCAATACCGGGCGACCTCACTAGCTGCTTGAGAACTTGCGGGTTTGAGACCCACTCGACCCATTCTTATCTTCAGCCGCATGCAGATCTACGGACGTTTCGCCTGTCGGAAGGTGCGCGCACGTAGGCAAGAAGTGGATTAAGAAAGTAACTAACAGTTTTTCGCTGCATGGACGAAGCTTGTCGTCACATAGTTGGGTCCACAAGATGCAACCGCCAAAGAGCACCGCGACGTTGACAAGCTAGGCCCACCCTGAGACACACTGTATCATTCCTATCGTCGATGGCATCTATCACCCCGATCCCAACGATAAATTTTAGGCCGACATTTTATGCCAAGGGTTGACAACAATGGATCCCACCCTGACAAGACCCTCTCTGAGTGGAGAGTCGTTCTTCATTGCGAGCTTTCTACTCAGACGTCATTCTGGAGGTGGATGCCAAATGTGGACTTTTATTGGGTTCAAGAGGGCCTTAATACTCTATCCCGCACCCCGAGTCTCATCTCCAGCTTTCTCTCCTCATTCCACCTTACGATGACGGAACGCGAGTCCAGGCAACCTTCGCCCGCCCGAGCTGGCACAGGACCAGTTTCCGAGAAAGATGATTCTGAGCGCCGACCCAGCGTACCAGCTGAGGCAAGCGACGAGGAGAAATGGGATGTCAACGTTCCCGTGGATCCTCAAGGAGTCCACCACCCCTCCATGGTACCCGGTCCAGACGGAAAGCGCGAGTTGAGGGAATGGGAGTGTTGGGATAAGCTCGCATACTCCTGGCCAAAGTGGAAGAAGGCCATGTATTTGGCTTCCATTGCTGGAATTCAAATCTCCATGAACTTCAACACGTCGGTATATCCTAGCGCTGTCAACCCCATCTCTGAACATTTCGGAATCAGCGCACAGGCAGCGCGCGTTGGACAGATGATCTATCTGGTCTTCTACTCCTTTGGGTGCGAACTGTGGGCGCCATGGAGCGAGGAATTTGGTCGATGGCCCATTCTACAGCTCAGTATGCTGCTCATCAACATCTGGGAAATCCCCTGTTCTGTTGCCCCGAACTTCGGCACCATCGTGGTCTGCAGAGCTCTTGTAAGTTTACCACCTTTTGAATACATCCAGCGCTAATGTTTGTTTTTAGGGTGGTCTCTCTACAGCTGGAGGTAGTGTTACTCTTGGTCTTATTGCCGACATGTACGAACCAGAGACTCAGCACTGGCCTCTATGCTTTATTGTATTGTCTTCTACGATCGGAACGTCTATCGGCGGTGTAATCGGCGGACCCATCGAAAAATACCTTACATGGCAGTGGAACTTCTGGATCCAATTGATCTTTGGTGTTGCTGTCCAAGCAGTGCATTTCTTCATGCCGGAGAGCCGAGCTACCATTCTTATCGACCGCGAAGCGAAGAGACGTCGTGAGACTGGCGAAGATCCCAACGTTTATGGACCAAACGAACTCAAGAAGCCGCGAATCTCGCTCAAGGAAGCTGGAAAGATCTGGCTCCGACCATTTGAGATGTTCGTCCGTGAGCCTATCGTGTTGCTCCTATCGCTCCTCTCCGGTTTCTCTGACGCTCTAATCTTCACGTTCCTGGAGGCTTTCAACGTCACTTTCCCGAACAACTTTGGTTTCGGTACGCTGCAGGTAGCTTGGGCGTTCATTCCAATCAACGCCTCCTACTTCTTCACATACTTCCTGTACTGGCCTTGGTTCTGGCGCGATGATCACCTACGCAAGAAGAATGGCCCTGACTGGATGTCGCCAGAGCGGCGTTTGAAACCACTTCTGTTGCTTGCGTTGTTTGAGCCCATCGGGCTGTTTGGCTTTGCTTGGACCTGTAAGTTGGCCTCCAATGTAGTCACCTGAACTTCGACTAATAGTGTACAGGTATGGGACCACCTCAAACGCATTGGATAGCACCAATGATCTTTTCGTTCCTCGTCGGCCTTGCAAACTTCGCAATCTACTACTCTTCTGTCGATTACATGATCGCTGCGTACGGTCCATACTCGGCTTCGGCCACTGGCGGAAACGCGTTTGCTCGTGATTTCCTCGCCGGTATCTCGGCTATGTACGCCACACCTCTGTACAACAATCTCGCATCTACGAGTCCCCAGAAGTCTCAGTATGCCACCACTCTTTTGGCATGCTTGTCGTGTCTGGTCGTGGTGCCGATCTACGTTTTCTATTGGAAGGGCCCGCAGATCAGGAAGGCTAGTAAATTCGCCTCTATCCTTGCAGAAGACAGGAAGGCGGAGGGCGTCAGACGGCTCAGTAAGGCTGACAACCTACCGGCCTAAGTTCCGGTGAAAGAGTTCATGATACCCCTGCTTTTTGTATGATACTTTCGGAAGCAATGCAGATGTCTCCTTCTTCGCCATATACCACTCGTCCTGTAACACTCTTCATGAGGTCGCTACTTTGTTCAAGTCCAAGACATATCGCGATATGTATGAGCTGGACTTTTCTTTTGTCTCACCGCTACGAGACGACCAAGAGACAGCAGAATAATGAACGATGAGTTTCACTCCCAGCACAGAGTGTCGACACAGTACGAAGTTTTACGTATATATTGTCACATATCATTACTAGAGTCCACATGAGAATGTCCAATCTCTGATTGTTAGACTCCCACAACAAATATGATATAAACTGCTCTTATTAAAATCTCGGACGCTTCTCTCAGCTTCTACATATCGGGCCGTCAACCACTAACAGACTTGTATAGTCTTTTACCTTCGTGGTGTGGCGCTGTAGTGAATGAGGATGTCTGCATGCTATCGCTATCTATCCAGCTTACGTGTGATACCAGCTGCCATATATACTAACGCAACTCGAGTGGATTCGTCTGACTGTTTCTAGTTATTTATCAATCAGTTCACTATGTCAGACATTGTAAGTCAATTTCACCGCCACGTCTATTCACATGAATATACTGGATATGTTTGCAGACATTGCTGGAATCATCCCGGATGATAAGAGGAAGATCACCCATATATTCCTAGGGAACACATCCATACCCGTCCAAGCAGAGACAACCGTGTAGTCTTACAGCTCAGTACGCTCTTTGGCCAAGACATAATAGAAAGATACTGAGCTATCAACTAGCGACTCACGGTTCCGTCAAACGTTCAACACCCAGCTTTTACAAGTTCAAAACACTAAACATGGTGATGGAACATCTGGATTTCGCGAAGACACACAAATCGAAGCCTCAGGGTAATCTCGATAGCGCGACGAATGAGCCGAAATCCAGTGTCACGGGCATGGCTACGTTGACATACGCGGAAATGCGCGCGCACAAGCATACAGAGAACCCCCGTTGCGCTTGTCACGACATCGAGACTATCCTTGCTCTAGTCCCCGAAAATCAACAAAGCCAGTTTGTGCGTGTGTATCCTCGCCCTCAGCCAAGGTATGCTCAGTATCCTACCGGCGTCTCCATGTTTCGTGAGGAACTGGACATGGAGATGACAGTGCCTCGTCAGGACTCTGCCCAGCAACCCCGGCCTTCGCTCGATAGTATGATTATGGCTCCCATGACAGCTGAAGAGTATACTGGAAGTCGTGGTGTAGAGCCTGACAAGAAACAGAACGAGCAGTTTTGCATACCAAAAGTGGCCGACGCTGTCTCTACCTTCTTTGCACAAGCTCGTAGAGCGGTACGATTCAGACCAGCGCTGCTGCCGACACCTATTGATGACGTACCAGCTGCAAAGAACCGACTGCCTAAGCCATGTGGTGATGAAACGCTAGAGGATGTTTCTACATCGCAGCTTTCTGCTCAGGTTACAGTAAAACTTCAGCGTTGTAATGCTGTACGGTACCGAACCAATCGTCGACCAAGACTAAAGTCACGCGCTCAGAAGTATACAAATCTTGGATATTGCCCTGGTAGTGAAGCCGATGAGTACGATCTGTCAGCACCAGTTGCAGTGCAACAGACTGGTCATGCTCCGATAACAAAGAAACGACCACTAACCAAGCAATCGCGGAAGCAGAGTACTAAAGGTACTACTATCTTTGAAGCCCCTCCTAAACAATCCCTGTACCATCCAAAGCGTCCAGACTCTCCCTTTCCAGGACCACAGCAACGAACAAAGCTACCAGTGACATCAATAAAGAAGGTCTGTAAGTATCAGCGTCACGACGCTGCCTCGGTGAATCGTCCTCAAAGGCATACGCACACTAACGAGGCCGCAAACAAACCTCGTCCTCCACCTCTGCGTGGTACAAAGGATGTGCTTTCCATGGCTGACAAGCCAGGTTTGCCGCCCCTCATTCAGCGTAATGAGTACCTTCTGTGGCAAGATCTCGGTGTTTTGAAGACCACTTCAGGCCCAGCTTTGACTTCGCTATCGACAAGTCGCCGAAACTACGCAGCAACTGATTTTGGTATGTCAGACCACGTTTCAAAGGACACTCTAGAAGCTGTTTCTGCATCTCGAAGATTCTCTCTGGAAAGTGCTAGTTCGGTTTCGCAATCTTCAGGCTACCCAGCAACTGAAGCCAGCGTACCAGATGACGTTTCCGATGGCATCCCAGAAGCCATTCCAGCATCTCGACGATTCTCGTTGGATGACTACATCATCCCAGAGGTAGTTCCAGCAAGCTACCGCTTTTCCATATCAGATAGTGGTTCCGAGACTGTTAAAGTTGAGCGTCGATTGTCAATCGATTCAAGGTTCTCGGTAGGTTCATCTACGCATGAAGCTGACTATGCCTACGAAAACCACACCAGTGCTGGAGAAAGAACCGATGGAGACGACCATTACGCATATTCAGATGCTTTAGATCCGGAACCACCGGTAATCCGTGGAGCGTCGGTCTGTAGTTCATCTGTACGTTCTTTCTCAGAAGAAAACCGTCCAAGCCTTGGATACTACGAGTACGCGGTACCGTCAGTACCCGATGTCATGTCTCCAGTTGATACTCATTCAGAAAGTGATTCCGACTCTTCCATTGACCAATCCCTCTTTGCAGACTTTGATGGGGATCACTTTGACACCAGCACTCCCTCGCTGAGCAGCGACACCGAGACCCTACCGTCAAATTGTTATACAACTAGGTCGGACAATGGCTACCGCCAAAGCTCTCTAGAGGGTGCGCGACACTCATTTCGGCAGAGTTTAGGAAAGGCTTCGCAGTTCAATCGGGCGAGGACCTTTGATATACGGCGCTCGAACTCATATTGGATAGATTAGTGTGTAACAATTAAAAGAATTTTGCCATTGAAACGTTTGAGGGGTATGCTTGTATAGACAACATCGTCGACGCTCTCAACCAGATCGTAAAAGAAAGTCAACAAGAAGATGAGGATCCGCGCAGAACATAGAGTCGCAATCATGTCCCCATCTAGCCCATACATCCTGCCGATATTTAGATAAGATGTCCAAAAATATGGTCTCTCCATCAGATTAGCAAACCAGTCGGGTAAACTTTTACGGGCGTTCCACGCATTACCAACCCACACTCTACCTGAATCGCGCAGTACACCTGCCCATGACCTCGCCCTGGCAAACCAGCTCGGCATTGAACTCCGAGCCATCGAGAGTAAGGTAAATGTCAAAGTAGACACGGTAAAAAGTACCTTGGGGCGTGTCCATGCGTTCAAAATCCTTTTCGAGATTCTTTCGTGAGAGATCAGAAGTGAGTGTGACAACTTCCTTGATACCTACTTGGCCGTTAGCAAGATGTTTTCTTCGTTGGATAATCTCTCTCAACTTACGAGGGTCTTTGGTGTATTCTGGGCAAACATCGTCATCACACGCATAGAGTATATCCTCGTACATAAGTGTAGCGCCGGGTGCAACTTGTCTGAAGAACGAGACTTTAACCGGCTCGCCGATCTTGACTCTTTGTCCCTTTTGCACAAAGATTTGGCGTGTGTACTTGCAGCGATCCTTGCCGTCAAGAGATGGGACTCGGTATTGTTCGGGGTGGTGGCCCTCTTTGAAGGGTTGGAGAGTTGCCATGAGGTAATGCCTACGTGCAACACGGTGTGTGACGATACGCTCGGTGATACCTGCTGTGACGGCTCCCTTGACGATGGCGGCGACAGAGTCCATGGGGCGGACGACCTTTGATTGAAACTGAGGTGGGACGTGGAGTTTGATTTGTTGGAAGAGGTATTCAGAGGCTCCAAAACCACCGACAACCAAGACGTTCTGTGCTGATTAGTACTGGATGTAAAAAGCTTCAATCTCGTGTTGCTCACCTGCAATGACCGGTTCTGTGCCTGAATGGCGATGATCTGATTCCTGACAAGCTCAAGGATACGGTTCACAACCGGCTCAAAGCACTGCAGAATCTCCTCGTTCGTGAAAGTCATATACCCTTCTTCGATGCCAGCCTCGGGGAACTCTGCCTCGATACCAACGTCGACGGCCCATTTCTGACCATTGTTTCGGAAATCGGCTTTTATCCTATTCTCAAAATCCATGATACACTTGGCATACACCTTGCCGGCGGTTTTGGAACCATCTGGGAGTTTCATCTTCCTGATCTTGGCTCGGAGAATGTTGCTGAAGTTGCGATTGAGCGCAGTGGAACCGCACGAGTCTCCGGATCCAGCTGTGCACTCGGCGACGGAGAAGGGCTGCTCTTCTTCGACTTCGTAGGCAATCAAATCGACGGTTCCACCACCACAATCGACGATGAGAACGGCGTCGTGTATCTTGAGGTTGAGCAGACCAGTCTTTGAACAGAACATGGCGGCGGCTTCGGGTTCGGTGATGAGTGTCAATCTGTTGTCGTTTTCGTCCCGCAAGAAACCAGCCTGAATGGCAGCCGCGCGCGTTGCAGCCTTTCCAGCATCGTTCCAGATGGCAGGTACCGTGAGGTAGTATCTGATGTTGCGCTCCTCTCGGTTGAAAACCTCACCAAGCGTCTTTTGCAGCTGGTTGCGCATTGCCTGGCGCAGGTGGAAGAGGTAGTCGGCGGCGACATCGATCTCAGACTTGCCAGGAGGTAGCGGTGGGAGGTTGATGGGGTCGATGTATGTGTTTCCGGACAGCATGAGCTGCAGCTTGAACCACTCGACCTTTTGCACACCAGGCTTGGGGTAGCCCGTGGGGGCCAAAGCATCGGCGATGTCAGGGCCCCATCCTACTACTTTCTGGTACTGGTCGTAGTAGAGGACGGTGGGAATCTGCGGCGCATTAGTCCTGTCACGTCGATGTGGTCATGTGGGTCGCACCTTCTGCTTTGTCTGGTTACCGGCGCCAGGCCATTCGGTGATGATGTCTTCCTTGGCCTCGGTGTTGGTAGCAAAGGCGAATGCGACGCCTGAGAAGGTAGTGCCCTGTTTGGGGTGGTTAGTTGCTGCGCCTCGTGATGCCTGAGGCTACTCACAAAGTCGATGCCAACAATGAGCTGAGCCTTGGAACGACCTTCGCCGGCTACTTCTGCCATGCCCGAGGGCCTGTTGTATGATGTGGGCGCACCATGAGGGGCAGGAGCTCCAGGCGGAGGTGCACCGTAGCCCTGGCCGTATTGTCCAGGCGGCCCTTGGGGAGGGTAGCCAGGCGGACCACCCTGCGGCGGGTAGCCCATGGGCGTCTGCTGGGGAGGGTAGCCAGGCGCGCCCGTGTTGATGGGCGGTAGAGGGCTCGTAGGTCGGCCGTGCTGTTGTTGCGGCGCACCGAGTCCGCCAGGAGGGGCGTATGTGTACGAGGGCGGGCGGCCCAGCGGGTTTTGAGGATTCATGGGGAGCGACGAGCTGCTCGACGAGGCCTGGGGGGACAGCGAGGTTGGTCGTTGGGTGCCTGTGGGGGCGGGATTGCTCTGGGGAGTGGGCGAAGGGTTGTGTGAGGAACTCTTTCGTTTCGAACCCACTAGGTTCTTGAAACGGGTGTTCATGGAATTCATGAGACTGAGAGAGGGAGAGGGCTGAGAATCAGCGGGTGGGGTGCGATCAAGGATATTTGGGAGAGGTGCTGCTGCGGCTGACAGCAAGCTGGGCACTGTCCAAACGGAGCAAGCTGCAAGGCTGTGTGAGGGAAAGCCCGCCGGCTGGGGGTGCGGCGCAGTCCCCGAGGAATTGGCTGAGAGTGCTTAGTGACGGGCTTTGTATCCTCGAAGCTTGACACGGCAGATACAAAGCGCGCGATCACTGAGTTGCTCGTTCCTGACCACGGCGCTTGCTGGCGAAATTGACGCGGCGGGGTGAATTGTACACAATAGCGGGTCATCCTCCGCCGGTCAACATCCTGGACCGCTACGGCGACGCCACACACTAAATGAATCGCTCAGAACCAGCCACGTCGAGCTGTCAAACACAACATCCCGCCTGTTCAGCGTCCTCAGCGGTACCCCGGTTCCTGCCGTACTGTATCCCGGGAGCATGCTTTATGGGAGTCACCACGTGCTGGATAGGACGACAAGGGGAGTTTTCCATTACGAAGGATGCCATTTCCCTCTGGCGGCCTGACGGTCCCGTCAACAATCCTACCGTCTTACGAGCCCGAGCCTGGGTGGGTCTCTGCTGCATACTGCTCACATCAGCACTCTCGATGCCTCAGGTTGCACGTTCGCCTACGTTTCCCTATGCGAGCAATGGGCTGCAAGTTGTACAAGAACACAAAGCTTCATCTCTCCAAGCGGTCTGTATCTTCGCTGTCCCATCTTCGCGTTTCTTTGTCCCGATGGCCATATGGACCCACCAAACTGGGGAGCTCCACTCCAGGGTCCATAAGGCTGGTGTCTAATATTGGAACACGATTTGTTTGGCTGTGGTATGTTAGCGTTCATTACGATGGACTGAGTCTTAATATTAAGGCAGGGCAGCATAACGCTGTCAGGGAATTCTGTATGACGATCTGATGCAAGTCTGTGTTCTGAAGACGTCGCTTTCGCTTTCTGCAATTGCCATCCTAGCGTGCAATTGGTTGTGAGGCATGTGTTACCAGCCATCTCTTTATACTTCACTGCACGTCTTCACAAGAGTGAAGCCAAAGGGTCATAACATGATGTCATCTTAGATGCTATGCCAAACATTGCTTCGAATTATCCAAAATCCTTATTTCCAATGCAGAACTCCCATGCCCGAATTTGTACTACCATCATATCCAAAGTAGTCGCGAAAACAGTTCGCGTGTGTATCATATTCATGTCCAACTCCTTCCGTTTCCTCAATCGCAGACAACGTCCCTCACTTCTGCTGTCATCCCATGTTCCCCAGTGCAAGCCAAGCAAGCACCCCTGACACTACCAACAAGAGCAGCGCAACAACAAACATGGCGACGATTCTCTCGACCGAATACCGCACATCATCTGGTCTTGTCGCGTCTATACCCAGTTGGCTTTCCTCGTCTTCTTCAACTCGGGAGTCGTGCTGGCTGCTAGGTATGTATTGGATGAGTGTGTCGCGATATGATTGTCGGACTGCGATTGCGTATGACGGTGGTGCATCAGCTGGGTACAAGGCATCGTCAGATTGGATCGAGAACTCCGTTGATTGCGCGTACGTGTGCGTGGAGAGGAGATGTGCAAGAGGTACGTCGTCGGCGATTGGTGTGTGAGGTGGTGAGGTGTCTGTGTATGGTTGGTACACCAGACTGTGCTGAGAGTGCGGGTCATATGTGGGTGAAATGAGTTGATGACGCGTCGAGGATATGCCTTCTGTGGGTGTTGGGGGATCATCACGGTACGGCTCTTGGTCTGCGTAGGGAGGGGGCATGTGTGGTATCGTGGGTAGTGGTTTTATCGTCGCTGACGAGTCTGAGGAGCTTGGTAATGCATGTTGTGTGGGCGATGTGCTTCGCGTGAGTGCTGGAGAGTCGCCATGTAATCTAATAGTGTCCTGCAGGAAGGTTAGTTGATTCGACATCAGGTGGGAAGGTTAAGCTGCCTGCATACCTCCATGACGAACCTCCAAAGTCACGATACCGTCTTTTTCTCAAATATCCCTTCAGTGCTGCCAAAAGAGCGTCCGGTTTCCTCAAAGCACAACCTAAGAAGCTACCGTAACCTATATCATCAAGAACCTGTTTGCCCTTATCAGTAAGAGGCTGGCTGCGACACGTATCACACAGCACAGTACAAAGAAGATTAGCAGTCGGAGCAGTCACAGTCACAGAACAGGATGGAGAAAGTGTACAAGGCAACTGCAACAGGCGCCCAAGGCCTTCCGCAGCAAGTGCGCAGTAGTCTATCGCGGCCCCCCATCAGATGGCTGGGGGGTAGCTATCTGCCATGGCATGGATCCGCGTAGTTGAGAGACCAATGCGTCGTGACGATTGTGGCTGGAGCGAGGGGGGCATGTGGGTTTAGCGCTGAGGCTTGACCCTCAAGAAAGCCGCCGAGCCGGCAAGGCAGACATCGCGGCATGCGGCTCACCTTGGTCAATTATCACAAAATACCTGTCGGCAGCAATCTTACACATCCAAAAAGTTTTCTGGATAGTGGACTCGCCTGAGCTTTCCTTCAACGCAACAAGGTTCGCCATCAAGATCAGTGCTTCTAGGGAGGAAGGGCCATCGCACCGCCACAGTTCCGAAACTTGGACCCGCGACGCGACAATGCCTGGAAATTCAGGAACGCGTTTCAGGCCTAAAATAGCGGATGGACTTGCAAGCGCTCTGTGTACCAAGTACCGAAGGGGTTCATTCGACCTAACGAAAGAATTTCCTTGCCCACATCTACCGGTAGTGTCGGCAGCGGTAATTGTCCTACAGGGATAGGCACCAGTTCGCTTTCGTTGAGTCTTCGAGGCAACCATCACAGGGAGCGAACCGTACACAGCATCCATGCAACATAGTCCGTGACTCAGCGAGAAAATGATGAATGCTTTTTGACACCGTGTTCTGATATCGAGCCGAGTGCCGTTCCTGCAATGTGACTTCTCCGGTATCGTATTTAACTTGCTCAACTTCTCGAGCTTGGGCACTTTAAGCACTTTCGGATCTCCACATTCCCTCGAACAGTGCATCCAGGTCTTCTCTCGGTGAAGTGCCCTTCTCTTTACAGACAGGAACCCGCCCGGACACTTCAGCGTACGCTTCGTCCCTGTAGTCGTTCTAAACTACCTTTTGCGATTAACACGCTAGAGTGACAGCGAATCGTTTAGATGTAAATGAAGAGTCAATGGTACCACACATATGTGACAAAGATAGGATACGCAAGCATATTGTTACTCCCAGTGCTAGGCTTGCTTCTCAAGCGCCACAGTGTAGATATAGGAACATGAGCTTTGAAAGTGAAAATTCTCATATTATCATCGACCTCGTTCATTGCAGGTAGAAACACCACATAACTTGTTCAACTCGATGTAGAAAATAGAAGAAGATCGTCGCCCTAGATTAGGTCTCGAAGCAAAGTTCACTCAGTCATCATTCCCTTCTCCTGTATACTTTCTGAGCCTGCTTCTTTTTCCTCGTCCGACTCCGTCTACCGCCACAATCCACTAACCGTCTCAACCCCTCTCTCAACCACAGCCTTGACCCTCGCCCTAAGCGCATTGTTCGCGCACTCCACATCCAAATCCTCCAACCAAACCTTCGCCACCCACTTGTCAAACTTAATCTCCACACCAGGAACAGGTATACCTAGGTTATGTAGGCGTTTGAGTTCTGCTTTGTCTTCTGCGGACAACTGGTCATCTGGTGCAATAGGAGGCGGGAGAGCAGCAACACTAAAGGGCTCTTGTGATTTGGCATCATCTGGAGTTGAGGTATCCATCGAATCGGGGTTGGCTGCCGGAGTGCCGTTCGCAGTAGCGGTTGTAGTGCTGTTGCGAGGGAGAGTAATGGGCCGGACTGCTTCTTCGCCGAACTGAGCTTCTAGGAAGAGGAACAGGCGGGCCAGACGGGTGGAAGGATCTGTTGTGCGGTGAGGATGAGGCTTCTTGAAGCGATGGGTCAGTTTTGTGGTGAGTATGTCGTCTTCCTCTTCTTCTTTGGGTGGGGATGCATGGGTGTGAGAGTGTTGTTTTGAGGATTCTAGATGATGTGTGTTAGTATCATGTCTGATCGGAGTGCTAGGCTGGATCGGGGGATGTGACTTACGTCGAACAGCTGCTGGAGAGGACTCGACGGTGAAGAGAACTGCAAGAACGGCGTCGGCGATACCGTCGTTGATTACGTTGCCTTCCCATTCTACTTCTACTCTTCCTCCGTTCTTGATGAGGACATTCACGCAGTCCATTACCGTGAACTTTGTTTCTGTTCGGCTGACTTCTTCATCTGCCTCCTCATCGTGAGTCGTGCCATTGCCGTTCATCTTACCGTCAACGGCAGCATCGGTGAGACTGCTCTCTTTGATAGCACCAAAGGTTCCTTCTAGTGCCCATCGTATTAGGTCAACTCCAGCGGCCGACAGAGTGAGATGCTGACGACATAAAATGGTCGTTGTGGTTAGACCTGCGTATTCCTTCAGATCTTCGGGTGCCATGAGCGAAATCTTGAAGTCGTTTTGGACGAGAACTCCACTAATCATATCCACCTTCTCGTCTTCTTGGTCTTCTGCAGCACTTATGCTTTCGTCGCCGTTCGGAGTCAGGGAGCGAGGCAGAGGTGGAGCGATAGAGGCCAACTTTCCCACTACCTTGGCGATCTTATCGGTTTTAAAAGGAATGCGGAGTTCCTCACAGTTGGCTGGGGAGTAAATTTTCGTGGGGACGGCTTTCTGAGCGTTGAAGGAAAGGAGTTTAGACTTTAGACGAGTCATGTTACCCTTCTCGCCGTGAACAAGAATCTAGGCTTTGGTGAGTACAAGCTTCTTCACCGTGAATATGCAAAGTGAGCTGAACTTACAACAACAGGAGCAGCAACTTCCTGCACAAACTCCATGTTCTCTTTTCCATCAACATGCGCCGCGAAACTGTACTCCTGGACTGTGCATCGCCGGGGAATCATGGTCTGCTCATTCTCTCTTTGACCTGGTCGTCGTGCTGAGTTACTCGCTCGGGTCATGATGGCAGGAATTTGATCTGGCTCGTGGACAATCTGCTTCGCCATTGTGCCCTCGACAGAGTAACCAGTGATGATGACACCGTTCCTTGGGTCAGGTGCCCATCGCTCAAGCAGCTCACGCGATGTTCCGGACTGCATCATACCTGGCGAAGCAAGCATGACACATCCACCCAGGTCGTCGAAACGCTCGAGGCTCTTGAGTGAGCGGACAAACTTGAAGTCCCAGGCTCCACGTCGTCCAGTATCTCCAGCAGCTTCCGCCTCGGCCATGCGCTCGGCGAAGAGGCGTTTGATGTTGTCGTTCATGGCCGACACGTAGGTTTGGTAGACCTGCATACACTTCCGTGCTAAGCTGGAGTTGTAGTAGATGGGTATTTTCTGGACCTCTGGATGCTTACTCCAGTATTCGTCCAGGATGAGAAGAAGTTCCTGGGCTCGCCCCAGAGCGAAGACTGGAAGAAGAGCTCGGCCGCCGCGGTTGAGGACATCGGTGATAGCTTTCATGAGTTGTGCTTCTCGCTCGACACGTGGCGTGTGCATCGAGATACCAAACGTCGATTCGGTGATAAGGACATCGATCTTTACGCCCGGTGGTACCGACGCTGATACTAAATGCCGGTCGTCCTCTCGTGAGTAGTCGCCAGTGAACAATATCTTCAAGCCTGCAATCTCCATAAGAAACATGGCTGCTCCGAGTACGTGGCCGGCAGGATATGGTGTGATTCGTACACCAGAGACGGTATGTGTAGTGTAGAAGTCGATCGATTCGATCATGGGATAGGTATTGAGATGGTCCGCCTCAGTGTACATTTGGATCTTGGTCTCAGAATTGCTCGACATGTTTCCGACACGAACGGAGTCTTGGATAAGCCACTTGTAGATGGCTTTGGTCGGATGTGTCATGAATACACGGCCCTTGAAATTCGTCTTCGCAAGCACGTACGGCAAGGAAGCAGCATGGTCGACGTGAAAACTAGCCGGATGTCAGCATACTGGACGGTCAGGAGACCCAGGAAGTAGTCAGGAAAAGACGCCCAAGGTGGTAGATACATCGGTGGGAACCAGGGAGGGGCACATCATCGAAGTCGAGCGGAGAGGAAGCAAATAATATTCCATTCATAGTGATATACAAGTCGCTGAACTGCGAGTGCCCTTTGCGCGCTCATGGTCCGACTCCAGTGATGCGCCGAACCCCAACTACCATGGCAAGCAAGACGTGCGTATACATACTGTGAAATTAGTAGCACGTCTACAGTGCTAAGATCGAAGTCATCGTAGAATGGCATTGCCGATAAGCCTTCGTGTGCGGGATGCATACCGGCATCAAGCTGTTCGGCATTAGCATGGTCGCCAGAGAAGATTCGAGTCCTGTATGCGCACCATGACCGTCTTGCCCTTGTACTGAATGATATGACACGACCGACCGACCTCGTTACCGCCTCCTAAGCAGAGGAACATGAGCTCGTCGGACGGATCTATTGGGTCTTCATCTTCGGGCGCCATGGCCGTTGCCTTTCTCTTCGACGCCATGATTGTGCAGGTTGAGGTATGCCGGACCGACACGCGTTATACAGGTGACGGAGGTGAAGCTATCGGGCGGGTGAATTGTAGCCGGCGAAGAACGCGTAAAGTAGCCACGAGCAGCGACCGGACCTATCTCGTTAGTCGTGGATTAGTGTCGCAAGAGCATTCAACGCCTCGATTGGACAATGCGAGGGTGCGAGACAAAGTGCAGCAGCGCCGAGTGAGAGTGGAGTGCACGTTGGACGACCATTGCGGCTCTCTTTGTCTGGCGCGCGACTGCCAAGACCCCGTCCGTGCTCGTCATTCCAGATTCAACTTCCGCTTCATCGACCGCGACAAGAACATTACCCACGCGCCCACCGACTCGACCCATCGCGACTGCCGAAAAACACGTGCGGAAGCAAACGCTATCGACCCGAAACTCAGCGCCGCCGGATGACGCGCCGATAAATCACCTTCACCTGCGCAACTCCCCGCAGGGGACGAGCTGCCCGTCATGGCCTACCCCAACTACAACCAGTACCCTCCGCCGGGCCAGCAGCCTCCGCCGCCCGTGCAAACGCAGAACCTGAATCACCACCAACAGCAGCGCGCCTTTTCACCGCAACACTACCAGCAGTCCCCGACCGCCTTGTCCCCGACCATGGGAAGTGGCATCCCTCCCAATAAGCGTCAGCGCCTGTCCCCGAATCCGCCATCACCCGCACCATACCAGTCACCTTTTGGTATGCCTGGTGCTCCCTCGTTTCCGCCCTCGCCGTATACCGCATCCCCGCAGACGCCTGGCTACCACTCACTGCCCACATCGCCTGCCGCGATGCAGCCTCCGCCATTCCACCAGCCCCAGCCGTACCAGCATCCGAATGGACAACAGCCAGCGCTCCAGGGCTCTATGCCGCCACCCAAGGTCCCGTATAGCAAAACTGCGGATAATTCAGAATTGGAGAAGGCGAATGCGCGCGATCTGGATGTCAACAACATCAGCGATGTTCTTACCGGATCTGGTATCGACCTGCGCGCCGAAGAGGACAACTTGTTGCACAATTACAGGAGCTTCAACTCGCAGGCATCAGGCTCCACAGCATCCCCCCACACTAGCTTCAATAACTGGAGCCAGCAGTCAAGCCATGGCGCGTTCCAGGGGACTGGTGCGCTCAGTCAGGAAATGACCAAGGAGCAGCACGAAGCCGAATTCATCAGGAAACACGAACAAGCCGCTAGAATTCTGAACGAGTCGGCCCAACAGCCACTCAACGACCCGTTTCTACAAGCGAGCGTTCTCAGGCATCGCATCGCAAAGCGTGGGTATGAGCACGGTATTCAGATAAATGTGGATGGTCTGTTTGATAAAATTCCAGACAAAGGCCAGCAAGAGATCACACGTACTACTCAAGCTGGTGCTAATGGCGAGCAAATTGTAGGTCTAGAGGCTGCCAGTCTACTAAACCAGAACGCTCCGCTTGTTGAGATTCTAACATTAATTTCCCTGGCTGCCGAGGAGCGCATACGTACCGTGGTCGAAGACTCTTTCGCTTTGTGTCAAGGCCGTCAGAACACTTCTCATGGCATTATTCCACCCCAGATGCTTGACCTTGCCATCGTAGGAGAGAATGCACAGGAGAAGATGGTTCCGCCAGTTAACGTCCTGAAGACGCCGTGGGAGGCACCGGACAGCGCTGTCAGCCCTACAGCAACAGCAAGCAAGGGTATGTCTTAACTGGTCTTTTCCCATATAATTGCTAACTTGTTTAGGTGTTCCCAATGCAGGACGGCTGCCAACCCCTCCCAGCGAAGCACCGCCAACTCCTCAGCGAACGTACCAAAACGTCAACCATGTTGCTCAGGCGCTCACAAAGCGCGTTCAGGATGATTACAAGTGGGAGCAGGAGCGGCTTCGCAAGCGTGCAAAGCGTCAAGCAGGTGCCTCAGCTTCCTCCGCAGATACACCAGCTATTCCCATACCCCTGCCAGAACCTGTCACAAAGAAGGCCCTGGCATTCGCCAAGAAGCAAAGCCAGTCAGATGTTGTTGTGTTCGGCAAAGCCAATGAAACTGCCAGTATGGCGCTTGGCGGCAAGAAGAAGAAGTACTCCTGGATGACTGGTGGAGGCGGTGGTCCAGCGTCAGGTGCTTCGACACCACGACCGGCAGCTACGACAGGTGGTAGCGGCACCGCTACACCTGCAGTCCAAGCGCCTGAAAAGGCTCTCCTGGGCAGGAAGCGCAAGTTCGGCGATGCAATCGAGCAAAACGAGACGGGGGCCGGGATCCAGCTCCGCGATTTGATTCACGTGCTAGATAATGATGGAAAAGAGAAGAAGACGCTCACGGTCATCTTGGCGCGTCTTAAGAACACGGAAAAAGACACAAAGCCCGAGGTCAACAAATCTTTACCTCCTTCTGGAGTAAGAGCTTAGGCTTTGTATTATTTGCATTATCAGCGTTGGCGTTTAACGGGAGGCCTGTGGGGCTGATGAGGATCAGAATTTGTGCGATACCTTACTTGCATCATATCCCCAAGGGCTGGGGTAAAACTATCCATCGGCCGAGGACGAACAGTTGGTCGTCTTCGAATGGAACTTGTATCAAAAATATCATATTCTTGGGCTATAGTAGCCGAACACTGACCGACTATATCACCTATAACAGGCATTACTTATTAGATTGTGACTCAAGTGATTGGCCATGCTTTTTAGTGATTGAAAGCCTCTAAATATTGACAGTCTTGATGTCAGGCATCTGCAAGGTTACTACCACATCTTCTACAAGCATCAAACGCATACCTGAAAGACTGCAAAGGGTTTGAATTCACCCACAAACTGGAAGCCGCACTCATACAGATGCTTGACACAGGCATCGACAGATAAGTGTCGAGTGAAGGGTTTGGAGAGACGAGTAAGGCTCAGAAAGAGTTCTTCTGGAAGGACGGTGAAAAGTGATGGGAACCAGGATGTGAATGACAGGAACGGGAATGCAGCGAAACTGATGGAATGGTAGGCTAGGGAAGTTTGACAATGAGACTCGGACGACTCAACAGTTGGTTCGATACGAGCCGGTGCACCATATGTGATTTACTGTGGTAGAAACGTACGAGATGGGAAGACTTAATAACAATATTTTCATGTTCGTTCTACTTTATTCTATGGAAAATATGCGTCGGTGTGCCAACATATACCATGTAACAGAAATTCCAACCCAACTCCAATCCGGTCCAGACCGACTGCTCGAAGAAGAAGTTCCTAAACATCCAAGTTCAATTTCGGAATCGCCTTCAACCCATCCCCATCACTCCACGGTCGCAGCACCGGCGTCTCAGGCAATGGCATGGGCGTGGGGACAATCAGATCCAACCTTAATTCGGGGATCATGTTCGTCAAACCCAACATAGGAGATTCCAGAGGTCGCAAAACGGGTGCACGTGGTAAGAAAACGTTGTGTACTTCGAGATTGGTATTTTTCCGTCCTGCGTCCATACTTTTGACCTTTGGATTTGGTTTGAAGACTACACTTTGCGCAGGTGTAGTCGAAAGGGACGAGATGGAGTCCGTTGAAGCCCATGACGTGGGTCTGGAGCTTGTCGAAGTGGAAGCGTCTGACGTACGGTAAGATAATACCGAGTGTGCTGGGGTCGTGTTTGTGGAGGCGATCGAGGCGGCTGAGGACGACATTGGTGAGGTTGCTCTTGAAGGGTGAGCAGCTGGGAACGGCATGGGGACTACATGCAATTCCGATGGCAGGATAGAGAGCTCAAACTCGTTGGGTAACTGTCTTGGCTGTCTTGGCCATATGACATCGAAGGGTGCGTGGACTACCAGGGAGAGTGCCATCGTAGTATCAACTACAGCATTTTTGGGTGGTAGTTTGTAAAAGGTGCTGTGAACAGGTATGTGAAAGGTAGCGTGAAAGGCTTTGTGACAAGTACAGTGCCGCGAAGACGCTGTCTGGATTGAAGTATGAAACGCTTTGTATGGGATGAAGAAATGAACATGGCGACGTCCGCTAATATACATTACCTCTATGCTGAACCGTGGATGCGACTAAGTCATGCCTTGGTAGACTTGCGCTCTATGGTCGGTGTAGAAAACCAAAATTACTGGAGCTCGCCAATCCGACGTATCTTGGTGATGCAGTATTTTGATAGGCAGTCGCGACCTAACCAATGACTGCTGTGCTATTGACATGAAAGCACAATTTTTCACGACTCTGGCATTCCACATGCCTATTGCATTGAATATGGCAAATGTGATGTTCAAAGCCTCAGTATCTAGTCCATAACCACGGTATTGGGCAAGCGAAACCTCCAACAGTATTATCTTCATCAAAATGTTAAACCGCCAGGAAGCGTATGATGAACTCATCAGTGGTACCAAAACACCAATCATAAGTGCAAGAACTTTGCGTGGGTCAAAAGCTTTAGCGCGTTTGCGCTTGCGCGAACGGTCGCACCAGGCTAATCCAAACACTGATGACTCCGAAGATGAACACTTGGATGAGGAATTTACTTGGGAAAGGGACGGAGCAGAACTCTTGCCAGATCGATTTGATGAGGAACGCCTGGTGCAAGAAATCGAGCTCAAAGATGTCCTAGCTAGACTTGACGAGCTATGTCGGGAAGAACGTGGGCCGTTTTTGGATGCTGATGAAGGTTCGAATTGGAGCCGGTACCGAGAAATAGTGGAACTACACGCCGACGAGCTACACATGGATACTACAATCCTCGAGCGGATCAAGACTGGGAATGGCCCACGTGACAAAATCTTCGAAGACCTGCTTGCTCCATTACGTTCGGAACCACTAGTACCAGAAGCTGAGGAGTCAGAAGCCGACATGTTGAAAGTCCTGCTCGCCTGGAACAAGCGCATTGCTGACAGCCACAATGACGATCTCACGACACGCCAGGCGTTCACCGCTGCTTTAGTGGAGAGGATTAATGTTGTTGACAGGGTCCTGGCGATTGTGAGCGAGGATAAGAATAGCAACCACGATGACAAGACTGGCCAGAATGGAATTCTGGAACCTTCTCGACGGCGTTTACTGAAAGCCATCCATGAATACCGACCGGAGACTAGAAACTTCAGGAACCAGAACCCATTTGACATGCTTGTCATCATGTTGGCCCACGTTGAACAGCAAGAGTTTGAGGTTGCGAACAAAGACGATTGCATGTACCTTATCTTCAAGGCATTGAATGGACAGGAGCAACTGAAGAATCGCTTCAATCGTGAGAAGCAGAGACATTCGTATCAAAGCCAGAGAGAGGACGCAGAGCGAGATAACAATCAGGATGAAGTAAGACGATGCACGACTAAATGGAGAGTGTCCAACAAGAGATTGGCAGAAAGAACAAGGCAGAAATTGATGACTAGGATCCAACGCGCACGAAATGAATTAACAAAGGTCGGACTTGACGAGTTGTTGGAGTTAGCTGTGCTCCAATCGGCCCAGCCACACGCTGAAAGGGAGAACGATCCAGATACTCCGCCCTGGAAGGACATCTTTGGCAAATGTACTCAGGCAGACGACTATGATACCCTGAAAGACAAACTCGAAAAGCACTTCCCGGATATGGAGGCTACTCTAGAAGCAACTGTAGATAAAGTTCAAGATATGAAGACGACTCACAATCTGGTTCTATCTCGAACGGTAAAGTTCGCCGGCGCTGACCTTCAAGGTCGCGATGAGGCTGAGAGAACACGCATAATAACGGCGCGGCTGAACGACCCAGTTACCGCAAGAATGATGGAGGAGACGTTGGAAGGCATGTTGAACACGCATCTTGCCGCGACGCAAACGCTCGTGAACTTGGTGCGGATGGAGGAACCGATGAGTGAATTGTTGGCAGCTACGACAACGAAACACGACAACTTGTCGGAACTAGCCTGCTTGATCAATGGTGATCATGAGTTGAGTGCTAGTAGCGAGACGGAAGTTGAAGTTGTTTCTGCTGAGAGAAGTGAAGACAAAGAAGATTGATGGTCTGCCGGAGATAGGGATGTTAAATCCGGTTGTTGAGGATTAGCGACATGTGATCCCGATGGATTCGAAAATGCGAAGTCCTGTCTTTCTATGAGCCCCTGAGCGTCAGCTGCCTCGCCCGGGTGATGTTAGAATAATGTGCTATTTCGTGGGCTCCCAGAAAGAATATGGATAAAGGAATTCGGGTGCGGGATTTACGAAAGCCGATGGGCACGCACAAATCGCAGTGACGTGAATGGAGGATTTGCGACAGGGCGGGTATCCGGATTGGAGTCGGGAAAGAACGGGTCCAGCGCCAAGCACAAAACTTCTCATTAACTATCGCGGGCTCGTAATCTCCGTTCTGTCCAGCTTCAACCACCAAACCTCTCCACTCCACTTCCTTCGCTTCTCATCCATACCAGCGAAATGGCCACCAACCCCCCTCCCACCGCCACCGGCTCCAGCAAGGTCGATGCCGCGAAGGCTAAGCTCGCGGCCGCTGACCCTACCGCTCCCACTGGCCTTGACCTGTACTCGCGATTCGCTTTCGCCGGTGCCGTCTGCTGCTCCGTCACCCACGGAGCCCTCACACCCGTCGATGTGTACGTTGTCCCGTTCTGCAATGGCCCTGAGAGGCCTCAATGGCTGTATCGCACAAGTTTTGCGACAGTTGACAGATGTCAAAAATGACGACAGAATGCCAAGCTAACACATGCAACAGCGTCAAGACCAGGATTCAGCTTGACCCCGTCACCTACAACACCGGTCTGATCGGTGGCTTCAGGAAGACCATCGCCAATGAGGGTATGGGCGCCGTCTGGACCGGTTTCGGTCCCACCGCTGCCGGTTACTTCCTCCAGGGTGCCTTCAAGTTCGGAGGTTACGAGTTCTTCAAGCAGCAGTCCATCAACCTCGTCGGTTACGAGACCGCTGCCAACAACCGTACTGCCGTCTACCTCGCCTCTGCTGCCGTCGCCGAGTTCTTCGCCGATGTCGCCCTCTGCCCTCTTGAGGCTACCCGTATCCGTCTCGTCGGTGACCCAACCTTCGCCAACGGTCTCGTTGGTGGATTCTCCAAGATCCTGAAGAACGAGGGTGTCGGTGCCTTCTACTCTGGTTTCGGACCTATCCTGTTCAAGCAGTACGTCGCAATTTTCTCTGGGTGAACACACAACATCGACTAACAACACATAGGGTTCCCTACACCATGGCCAAGTTCGCCGTCTTCGAGAAGGTCAACGAGGCCGTCTACTCCGTCGTCGACAAGAGCAAGACCTCCAACGGAATGCAGACCGTCTACAATTTGGGCTCTGGTATCATTGCCGGTTTCGCCGCCGCCATCATCTCCCAGCCTGCCGACACCATGCTTTCCAGGATTAACAAGACCAAGGGTCTTCCCGGAGAGGGAACCACCTCCCGTTTGATCAAGATCGCCAAGGAGCTTGGTCTCCGTGGTTCATTCGGTGGTATCGGTGCTCGTCTTTTCATGGTTGGTACCCTGACTGCTGGTCAGTTCGCCATCTACGGTGACATCAAGAAGGCTCTTGGTGCTACCGGTGGTGTCGAAATCGCCAAGACCAACTAAGCGCTGGTCTCGTGCGATGGGGAAAGAGTGACGGAGGAGATGATACCAAGACAGCCAGGATAGCAGGTCTCTCGAGGTGGACTTGTCACATAAAAGTCTGTCTTTTCTTGCATAATGGCTGGTATGGGTTTGGTACGATATCACATTTCTTCTTCTGTGTGTTTTGCGTTTATCTGCAGTCATTCGAGTTAGATCTTGCTTCGCTTAGACGGCGATTTTATGTAACAGTACGATCGAGTAGGAAATATGCTGCAATAGACCCAACTCATAATGTCCAAGAACTGCACTTTACCTGTGAAATCCAATCCAGTTGAGGGAACAGTAATGAAATGATAAAGATTGATGTCTTTTACATGATTCAGATCTCAAAGTAGTGTTTGCGATTTAGGGATCCGGAACTATCCATGAAGTAGCAGCCAGGACGTAGCTGCAACGTCAGAATTGTCAATTGCACGCAATAACAAACAATCGCTATCGCATCGATCCTCTCATGTTCTAACAACCAACAGCTTCGTCCAGGATGTTACCTCGATGAAGTGAAGTTTAAGGCAGCATGCCGCTCAATCAGAGCGCGCTCCGCGACGATCTGATTGCTGGAACCAGAGCACCTCACGTCAGCTTCAGTTTTCCATCGGTCATCCCGCGTCGGCTCGCCGATTATCAACTGCCAGCTATGTCAGCCTTAGTCTCAGCCTCACAGCCCGTATAATTTCCCAAACACGTGGACTAGCTATGTACAACGTCTTCATAAAACAGCGACGTTGCTTGGAGTTGAAGCTTAGATGCCCCTCACTCTCTTCCACGCCGTCCCAGCTCAGTCGCCGTTGGTGCCAAACCGCATCGAGTATCGATTCCGAAAACTACCCATGCGAGAGCTCTTACTCAGCTTCTCATCAGCAACCCACGAATTCCTTCCTCTGAGCGGATCAAAACCTGCTTCCACCGAGGCGTCTTATCGATCAATGCGAAGCGATCCTCGTTGTAGCTAGCCAATGTCCGACCGTTCGGGCGCAACATCTCGCGATTTTGCATTTCAAACATCTGACCAAGCAAGTGGAGCGTCGCAACAGCACCCACAACAGTTCTACGGCGGCTACCATGCCGAGCACAACGCGAACGCGAACACGGCCGAGGCCAGGAGCCAGACACATAGTCATGACTTTCCCACGGAGTTTCGTGACTATGCGGGTGACTCGCAACAGCACCAAGTGATGCCAGGGCACTTCAACGGCTTTGGCTTTAATTCATCTGCGCCTGCAGGCTGGGATGCGATTGACTTCTCAGACTTCACGAACCAGTACGAGCCCCAGGGTGAACTTGTTCAAGAGTACCAAAGCCAAGTAAACCCTATCAACGACTTTAGTATTCCACATCCTGTCGCTGCGGGTGAACCGACGTATCAATCGTTCCCCCAAAGCCAGAGCGCTACTACGACGCCGAACGCTGCGCAAAGTCAGAACCAATTGTCTCCTCCACCTCCGCCAGCCCAACCACAGCAGCCGCAGAGACCATCCATTCAAGCAGGCATGAAAAGGAAGGTCAATTCCGAGCTCAGTACGACTGTACCGCAGAGTGGTGGCGTTACAACGGAGAATCCACCGAAGCGCCAGAACGTGTCGCGGCATTCATCCGACGCCTCAGCAACCTCGCCAGTCCTACCAACCCCGGCTGATGCTCGAACACCATCCACCACGCGAACTGCAACCCATGCGCCCACGACTGAAGCTCTACCCCAACCAGCGCCGCGAGAGAATACAGCACTAGAGAGGCGGAAGGAGCAGAGTAAGGGGACGGGACCACAGGGAAGGGTCATCGATGTCTCTACGCCGCGCAGAGTGCCTGAGTCGCCTGGAGGGCTGGACATACTTCCTGCCGGCAAGGTGTTTCCCATACAAATAGGATCAGAGCTATTCAGGTTATCGGGAGCCTCTATAGCGTCAGATGGTAAGCATGCGGTGAATTCATGAAGAGAGGCTAGCAACTGAGACTACTAGAGCACCCTCGCACTTTTCGCATTTCTTCAGCCAGCAACTGCATGACAATGGCGGTCGAGCTGGCGACGTGAGGACGCTGTACATCGATCGCGATCCTGATACCTTTCGCGACATTGCGCTGCACCTTCAGGGCTATCATGTTACCCCTCGAGATGGCGAGCACTTTGTAAAGCTATATGCGGATGCGCAGTTCTATTCTCGTAAGCTCAGCCATGCGTGTCACATAATTCAATGCTGATGATAGCAGTGCCGCGTCTCACCAAACAGCTGTTCAGCACTGACATCTTCGTGAACATTGGAGGAAAGCCTTTTCAGATACAACGCGATCTTTTCTCTGCTCCTGGAGATAGCCCCAACTACTTTTCGCTTGGCTTTGCACATTTCTTCTCGACGCCGTCTGAGGCATTCCCGGGACTGGACCGCGATGCGCTGCTTCGACCACCGTCTATCAAGCCTCCGTCCGTGCCGAGTAGAAACGGAGAGGTGTTTGGCGAGTTGATACAACTACTGCAAGGCTACAACGTCGAGATACGAAGTGAGGCGCATCGCTCTCGTCTTCTGCGGGATGCGCGATACTTTCATCTCAAAGGTTTGGAGCAGAAGCTCATACCTTGCGAGATCTCGTATAACCTTAAACGGCAAGAGTCGGAGATTCTAATTCGTCTTGAAGATATTCGACAGTCTGGTATCTCGTTCAGTCCCGATAGAGAAGTCAGCGACTCAGACTCGGGGTCGATATCGGGAGCACAATCAGCAGGCGTCTCACCGGATCCTCTATCCATCAGCAAGGTCGCGAGTCCCGCCCCATCAACAGCAAGCAGCAGTGCAATTTCCAGGCCAGGATATGTATCTTATGCACGACCATATACAGATGACCATGCGAACAGCAACATCCTCGTCGTGGAGATCGCATCGTCTGAGTCAACAAAACTCTACCTTCCAAAGGCGCCACCAACATGGCCTCCGCTCAAAGCCGAACTCCGAGCAACTTTCCATAGCTCAACCCTGGCACGAGTGACCTCACTTTTCTCTGTCATAGCTTCCAAGATGGGTTTGCCGGCTACACAGCCCCTTGGCCTAATGTATGTACAATCTGGCGGTGGAGTGGCAGCGCAACCCGTCAGTCCCGCCAATTCGGGCGTCAGCGAACGGCGTGTCCGCGTACGACTTGATGAAGATTGTGCTCTAGAAGTCGATGGATCGCCAGCGGAGCTTTCCTTTGGTGATACTGACCATATTGGCGTCCGCCGCACGGGCAAGGGAGACGACTGGATATGGGGTGGTCATTCTAACAGCGCTAACGAGGGTGATGAGGAAGAGTGGACGATCAAACGCGCGCACTGGCGCATTCGCGTCGAACCCATTGAGAGCGATGCCGAAGGGAAGAGGATGCAAGTCGTGCTATGCGCAGCAAAGATCGAGGTGTTCACATCCCAACGGATACGAAATTCGTCGAGAGGCTTTTTGGGAAGTGGCTAGGTACAGGATCGTATAGTATGGCGGTCGAAAAGCTTGCGCACCAACACTTGACTGACGAATATGATTGTATCACGCTTTCAATTCTTTCACATACGACCATAGGATCTTGAGATCACGGCTTCCCGTTCGCTCAGCCCTAGTTAAGCAAGATACCGGCGGATTAGTAGTCAGGTGGGTGACCACTGGCGAATCCCCGCTGTTGTATGTTTTTTGTTTTTGTTCCTACCTAATATGGATCGATTGGCATTTTTGTTAATGTTACCAGAACTGATGCTTTCGCTCGCAAAATATTGTATGGCTAATCAGCATCTCAGTCTTTACCTATGTACCCGTGGACAGCTCACGTACGACACCACTACAAGTCCGCGCGAGGTGCTCAGTGACGCACTTGAATAAAAAATTCGGCCGAGAAGCCTACGTATTGCAGTTTATTACTAGGTTGATAATCGAGCATAGTTCGCGTGATCCAGATCGTGACTGCGCACAGTCGTTACAAACCATAAAACCAACACCGCCACAAGAAACAACATACGCGAATGGCATGCAAACCATAAGGGAGGCCCGTAACAGTGGCTTTGATACGTTAATACACAGGCTAGGGCGGTGTGGCGCGTAAGCCTGAGGACATGGCCAAGACATACGGCTTGCCTACAATGATTTGCGTGATTTGCGCATCAAGAAGTCAGGCTCGATCATGAGCATATGACCTAATTCGCGTACGTAGACATGTTACATACGAAAGATGAGCTCAGGTAGATGTACTTGATCGGAAGGCGCCGAGGACATTGATGGCTTTTGGTTACTCAACGACACCCTTTTGGATTGTGGGTCACATGGAGTATGAAAATCGGCTTACGACTAGAGCTTTGGTTTTCCACATGTTGATATGGGTTGTATCCTTTAGAGCATCGGTATTCTAAACCAAAGTTCTTGCCTTGAGAGCAGGTGGGACTGAGTTCACCGCTGGAGAAACGTCATGTATAACGCCATCTTTTAAGCTTGATTCAACGTGCACTCGCTATATGGGACTAGAGGGAGTGATCTTTACGAGGTCAGGGAAGGACACGTTCCCTTGCGAGGACCTTATGACTTTGGGTAACGAAGGCCAAAGGCTTACTGCTGGCAGCGTTGCTGTTGAAGATCTTGAACAACGTGCTGGTAGTTTGTGGTTGGACCTGTATTCACATCCGTGACTTCATCCAATCGCTTCATCATGTTCACGAGTCGAAATTTCATTAACGTAAATCCCATCAGCTGCCCTTAAGCTCATCAAGGCATTCGGCGCTTATTGATTCTCACTGTCATGTAGGCGTCCATACTCCCCACACCACCATCTCCACCACCAACACCATTCGTCTATTTTGCACAGAACTAGGCATATATAGTTGTCCTGATGATTTCTCTACCATGATCGTGAGCACGGGCACCTCTAGAGGATCTGGAAAGTTGCCGTGTCAAGCATTCTTTTCAACGCCACATGAATAAAAACTCACCATATTGATGAATCTTGTGATCAGATGTTACTTG